TGAATATATTCCTGATTGCACAGGAAATATTACAAAGAATCAACAACTGGGATCATATCAAATTAAAACATATTTGCACAACTAAAGAAACCATCATCAGAGCAAATGGACAGCCCACAGAATGAGAAAACATTTTCCAGCTACTTCTCTAATGACTAATATCTAGAATATATAGATTAAAATTAAAAAACCACCACCAAATTTAAAGACTCAATCCAAAAATAGGCATCTAAAATGAATATACATTTCTCAGATGAAAAAGTACACAAAGCAAATAAATAAATGAAAAAATGCTTAACATCACTTCTCACCCAAGAAATGTAAATTAAAACAGCACTGAGATTCCATCTCACTACAGAAAGAATGGCTACCATTGAGAAATCAACCAATAACAAACGCTGCCAAGGCTGTGAGGAAAAAAGAACCCTTCTCCATTGCTGGTGGGATTATAAACTGGTACAACTACTTTGGAAACGAGAATGGAGATTCCTCAAAAAACTAAAGCTAGAGTTTCCATTTGGCCTACCTATTCCCCTTCTAGGTATCTTCCCAAGAGTTAAAGGCATCATACCACAGTAATATATGCATAGCTATGTTTATAGCAGTACAATTTATTGTAACAATCTTGGAAACAGGCCATACACCCATCAAAAGATTAATGGGTAGAAAAAATGTAGCATTTATATACATTTGAGTACCACTCTGCTTTAAAGAAGGAAAAGACTTGACTCGTTTGTAGAAAAATGAATGAACCTTGAGACCATATATTAAGAGAAGCAAATTGAACACACAAGTTTAAATATCACACTTTCTCTTAAGTGAGAAACCCAAAGGGTAAATGAGGAGCATAATAGAGGATAAACACTGGGAAGTAGGTAGAATGGGAAACAAATATGGAGAAATATGTAGGATGTTGAAATGAGACAGGGAGCAAGGGAAGAGAGGTAAGGGAAAAAACATGATAAAAGGGGGAAAATGGAAACTTTTGTAAATAGAGAGGGAAAGATGGGTTTAAGGGAAGGGAGGGCAGTGAAAACAGAAGATGCAATTAGATACATACATGTATAAATGTATTAATATAAGCACTGTATGACAAATACAAACTAATAAAAACTTTTAAAAAACTGGTTGACAGTATCTACCAAACCTAATCATATATATAACCTATGACTTTGCAATTCTATTCTTAGATATAGGCAATACAGAAATGTACATTTATCAACAAGTCATATTACTAGTGTTTTCACAGTGCAATGTGCAAACTAAAATTGGAAACATCCATAATGCCCCCATCTGTATAAGAGCTATCTGTGATTAAATGGAATACTATACAACCATGAAAATAAAAGAACTATTGCTACACCGAATAACATAGATGCATTTTTAAAAAGTCTTAAACCCAAGAATCCATATACAAAAACCTGTAAAATTTATATGATTTTATTACATTTTTAATAAGTTGAAAAACTCACAAAATTATTATATATTATAGAAGTCAGGACTGGGATCAATTTACAGTTAAATTATTACAGGTAAAAATATGCTCTAAGTCTTTCAGATGCTCATCTATCTTTCTTTCCTTTGGGTTTTCTTGTTGTTGTTGTTGTTGTTTTGGTTTGGTTTGCTATACCCTGGGCCTTTGTACTAAGCAGTATCTTCAGGGTTTCACTAAATCAGTAAATTGCCCAGGCTGAGCTCAAAATTTTGATCCTTCTGCTTCAGCTTCACAGAGTGCTAGGATTACAGTGTGGGCTACCAAACCCAGTTTATGTTTCTTGAGCTCGACGTTGATTTCACAGGTGTATTTACATTGTGAAAATCGTTTTGAGCTGTATGTATTCATTTACTTAAAAATGATGCCTGTAAATATCAAATGGTTCAATCAAAATAGTTAAAAATGGATGGAGGAGGAAGAGGAAGAAGTAGAGGACAGGGAGACCTAATACAGAAAAGGTTAAAAATCACTAAATGCAGGTTCATAGTGTGAAAGTATTCACTGCACTGCTGTTCTTTCAGCTTCTGCCAGCGTAAATGTTTTATTGAAAAACATCCAGGTAAAAAGACTCAAAATGCCTCTGACATCTTAATATTTGTAACTAGGGAATTATTCAAGTACCTGATATAATCTGTCTTGGGAAAGGAAAATGAATAAAAATGAAAATAAAAATGAAATTTCTGTATCTAGATTTTTCTTACAAAATAAAACGTTCAGTATATTTTCCATTTCTCATTAATAAAGAGACAGACCAAAGAACTAGACCACCACCAACTGTCTAAAGACCTTAACTCCATGAATTGCATGCATCATAGTTTAGCAAGTTACTATAGGACTCTGAATCTTGGTTTTATCACCAGAAAAATGACAATAATACTGATATCCAAAGGTGGTTCTGAGTAGTAATGGAGAAACTATGTAAGACTGTCAAGGATGCATCTGGAGACCATAGTCTTAAGTAAAATAAATCAAACAGAGACTTTTAAATACTGTATGGTTTCTTTATATGAGAAACCCAAAGTATAAATAATACAAAGACCAAACTAAAAGAGCTATGACAGAAAATAGGAATATAGGATATGTGGAGATGGCAAAGAGATCTATGGATAGGGAGAGAAAGGAGGACAGAGAGAGGAAGGAAAACTAAAAAGATCAAGATGTGACAAGAATATGTACTACCTTCCCATGATGAATGTATTTATTATGTATTATAAGCACACACTAGTAATAAAAGGGGGGAAAAAGAGAAATATTGTATGTTACAGGCAAATACTGAATATTTTATCATACCAAACATTTATGGGCAAATATCAATATGCACCAGTAGCAGCTATGAGAGAGGTAAACAAATACGCTTATAGGATAGCAGACAATGCACTAAGGATTAGATGAGGATGGAGATATGAGATATGGCTTCCTACAGGACTGGTAACTTACAACTCATATAAACGGTAGCAAAAAGCCAGCCAAAAAGAAAAAGAATATGGGAAATTCATGTGAAGGGATCAAACTATTAGAATATGCAGTACTGAATTAGTGCTATGTAAAATGTGACCACAAGGTAAGAGAGGTGAGAGGGAGAGTGAATGTAGGAAGCAGAGGAACAATGAACACAGAGACCATGACTTAGATACATCATCCTGTTTTAACACAAATATCTGCATAGCTTGTACCCTTGCTTCCTTCAGGTTTCTGCTGAAATACCACCTGACCAGTGAGATCTTCCTGACCATCTATCAAATTAACATCCTCTACATCACAAACTATATTTCTGATATATTCATTTACTGTCTGTCTCTTAGCTGTTTAAAAGACATTTTCTCGGGGCTGGGGATTTAGCTCAGCTGCATAAGCGCCTGCCTTGCAAGCAGGCAGTCTGAGTTCGATCCTTGGTACCGAAAAAAAGGAAAAAGACAAAAAAAAAGACATTTTCACTTTTGTTTTCCACTGTTGGATTCTCAGTACTTAAAATAAAGGCACATAAAAGTTATTCAGTAAAATTTTGCTGAATTAATGAAGGGATCGATGGATGCACAACAAGTTAAATCAGTATGACACACTATGCAATGATCTAAATGAGAAATAAAGGTATATCAGCAATTCCTTTTTTTTTTTTTTTTGGGTACTGAGAATCAAACTCAGGACCTTGCACTTTTCTAGATAGGCATTTATGCCTGCTGACCTATATTTCCAGCAGCAATTCCTTTTGAAAAACTTCGTAAGTGTTATGGTGTCAGGAAATCTCTCTGTGTTTTCTGAAAGAACGGAAAATCAAACGTGACTTAGAAAACAAAATCATCTCTTATTTTGGCAAGCATAAAATATGAATTACAGGAGGAGGGAAGAGTAAATTGTTCAAGGAAACTCTGGTTAAATTTCTCCTTTGAATTTGAAAAACCTGATTCTCACCATAAATTTAATGATCATCTGGGCAATAAAATGAAGAAATAAATTGTGAATATTAACAAATGTTCTCACTAGCTAAATTTCATATAACATATGGAACCCAAAAATAATTTCAAATTGCAACATACGAACAAAGACAAAATTCAGATTACAACAGATTACACAATATTTTAAAATCTCCTTACAAAACTTTTATCTGAAAAACGGGTAACCAGCTTGCCATTCAGTAATACTAACAGTGTCCAGAAAAGAATCTGTATAATAAACTTAATTCCTGTTAAGTAACATCTGTATCTAGATGTCATTTCTGCTGATCATTTCTCTTCTAAGAGAGGTTTTACAAAGAATAAGAATGACTCCCACTCTCTGAAGTTGATATTACATCATGGGCAAAATCCACTAGTTGGCCCTCCCCCTTCCAAAACTTTGGAGATTCAGTTCTACAATGTAAAAAACGCAGTTGAGAGGAGGACTAAAATCAGCGAACAGCTAAACAATACATAATTTTGTTTAGGGTAAATAAAGATAAAAGGGCATAATTTGAACAAGTCCCTCTGCCTCTTGTGCTTCCAAGTTTTCTGCTTCTTTGCTTATTTTTGAATAACAAAAATTAACTTTGACCTTGAAGTCGCATCTGCTCTTGAAAAAATGTCTTAATTCACTGGCTTCTGCATGAGAGGGGCAGAAAAGACCAAAAGACTGCAAGGGAAACAAACCACGGGGCTTGGAAGGAGGAAAAAAAAAGCGAAGAGTGGAGGAAAGTGTTTTTGAAAAGTCGGAAGCTAAAATGAGGCTAGAGGAGGGTGGGGGGTGCGAGTGGAAGGAAATATCTGTGGTAGAGAGAATAATCCAGGCTCAAAAAGATTAGCGAAGGAGACCCACAATGAAGAGGACCGTGAAACGCGACCGAGGTCAGGAGGATAAAACAAGAGTCAGAAACTGCAGCAGGCGCGCGAGTTAGGGGGTGCGCGTTTCTGAGGAGAGAAGTGGCAGAATCATCCTTCATACAACATACTTTGTCACTGAATTCGTATCCTCCCCGCCCCCTGTTAAAACGAAAGCTTTCTCAGGATATACGGAGATTCATATTTACACTCACCAACACGAAGAAGGCAGCCACCACAGCGTGACCGGAAGAGTCAACTTCTTCAGATGAGCGGAAGTTTTAGCGTCCACAGCCCCTCCTTCGCCCCGCCCCCCACGTTCTTCCCCCCCACTCACTTTAGGCAACTTCCGGTGCCGCTCTAGCAACGGCTTCAATGCTTTCTCTCATTGGTTCTGTCATTAGCCAATCCAAATATGGACAGTGATGGAACTAGCTGGAAGAAGGAATCCGTAAATTTACAAATCCTGGCTTTAGTCATCCCAGGAACTAAATTTCTGCCAAACGCCAGCATACAATTTGTCACCCTTCTTTGATTAGCCTTACATATATCGAAATATCTTCCTTCAGCGTAGTCCCTTACCTCAGATATTGTTATCTCATTAAGATGTCTATCATTACATATTTACCATATTTGTTTATTCTGAAAAAATTATTTTTATTAGTGGCATATTATAATTGTAATGGTTTTTTAAAATCTTAAATCTGAAATAATTTTTATCTTTGAATGTTTTCTAGAGAGTTAGCTGCCACATTCAAATTTCCAAATAAAAGCGGATTCATTTAGAAAGTATTCCTGTAAACATACATATTCCTCAAGAAAGAAAACAAATAAAAAACGTGTCAATATTAAGAATAAACCTTAATCTGACTGGAGACCTTCAAAACAAGTTTAGTATTACTGCCATTACTTCCAGAAAGCTCTTTTTGGCCTAAAATCCATACCACAATTCTCCACTGTTTGGGTTATTTTCAGTAACTCCACAAGTATACACTTAGCACCTACCATGTCTCACACACTATGCTACACCCAGAGGCATTGCACTGGGAGCCCACAACCTAGGGACTGAAAGTGAAAGGTATTTACTAATGTTTGTTGAATGAATAAATGATCAAAATGTAGTCAGGACAATGATGGTGACTAGCATAAGGTTCTTCCCTTCGCCAATATTTTTACAATTCAACAATTTCAGCTGGCATAATAGTGCATGCCTGTAATGTCAGCTACTTTAAAGCTGAGGCAGAAGAATAGTGTTATGGATTTAAAAAATGATGGTCAATTTAATACCAGCTGAACTAAATCAAATCTGAGTGTAGACATTCTGCCTGAGGAAAGTTGCCAGCATAAATAGAGATGTGGAGAAGACTAGTGAGGTGTTGTGGATTTCTCTAAGTGTTGCTGTTTGAGCTATTGGTTCTCCATGACCAGCTTCCCCAATGTGAATTTGACCTTTATCATCGGAGGAGCTTGGGACCTTGTTGGTGAGAGCAGCTGTGGTTCGCTTTGGGGTAGCTGTGGTCGTCCATGAAGCATCACTTCTGGTTCTGGAGGGGAAGACATGTGCCATTTAAGCTCTAGGACACAATCGCCATGCTGCCTTTCTGGCATGTTCGACGGTTTTTATCTTTGGAGGACCTCGAAACTCCATATCGCTAAGAAATGGCTGTAGTGCTCTTCAGGGCATCCCTGGTTCTTTTTATGAGAATGACTTCTCTGCTCCAATGTAGAACCCTCAACCTACCAGCACAGCTCCTTCATCCCACTATATTGATTTTCAACCTTCCACTGCTGACCTTTAGGCCTTCCCAGCATGGATCCTTAAAACAGACTGGGGGCTGGGAATTTAGCTCAGCGACATAAGTACCTGCCTTACAAGCAGGCAGTCATGAGTTCCATCCCCAGTACCAACAAAAAGGAAAAAGACAAAAAAAAAAAAAAACAGACTGATGAGAGTCTACTCATGAGCTTTAGAACTACAATTGGACTCCGAGGAGTCATTGTTATGGACTCTAGATTTTCACCTGGACTCATGCAGGACACTGCTGTGAGATCTAGGCCCTTGGCTGAATATTCTGAATCTTTAGTGTTGTAGACAGATTTCCTGCACTTTCTTGTGTTAAACTCTGGGTCATCATCATAAAATAATATTATAAATTCCGTGTCCTGATTTTAATTGTTCTCCTCCCAAACCCTGAGTTCAACATGCAGAAAGTTCAAAAACAGCCTGGGAAAGTTAGTGAGACACTGTCTCAAAATTTAAAAAAAAGTAAAAATTGCTGGGAGTGTAGTTCAGTGATGGAAAACTTGCACAATCCCCTGGGTTCAATCTCCAGTGCTACCAAAAAATTTTTTTCATTCAACTACCATATTTTGAATACACATTCAATTCAAGGTTTCTGTTTCTGATACTGCCCATACAAAGAATAATATACAATTCTACATTTTAAGATGCTTTTCCCGGGAACATACACAATTAACAGCATTCTAAGGTGATAAGAATAATTAGTAAAGTACAGACAGCAAAGAACTATAACCATCTCACGGACAATAAATCCTACAGACCTAAAAATCTTGGAGTCCTGAAGAGTGCCCCATAAAGATTTATTTCATGTTGAATGAATGATTGAGCAGATGTATAAAAGTGAAAAGCAACAGCAGAGTTGAACTACAGAGTGAAAAGAGAAGTGATAATAGATGAGGCTAGATATATAAGAGATCAAAAAGGGACAGGCCTTGTGTGTAATGGTTGCCTTCCACAGAATAATAGTATATTTAAGAACAATACATGCTAAATGGTAACAATGGCTACCAAAAAAATGCAGACAAGCTAGGTGGGGCAGCATACATCTGAAATTCCAGCACTAGGGATCCTGAGGCTGTAGAATCACTTAAGCCTGGGAATTTCAGACTAGCCTGGACAACACAGTGAGAATCTCTCTCAAAAATTAAAAAAAAAAAAAAAAAGAAGTAAAATCTTAGAAACAAAACAGCGAAGTAGGATAGCAGTAATGTGAGCTGAGGAAGTGGGATGGGGCTACCATTCCAAGACAACTCTAGGAAAAAATGATGCATGAGCAGCATTTATAGACTTAAAGCATTTCTCTCAGTCACCATATTGTTATCTCATTTCAGGCCTTATTCCATATTTCTGCTCAATCTCAAACTCCCTAGCATTACTACAAAAGCTTTGATGATGTTAATCTCTCTCTTACTCATTCTCTCTCCCTCCTCCCTCCCTGCCTCCTTTCTTCCCTATTTCCCTCTTTGTCTCTCTTCTCAGAATCTTCTTCCCTCAGATTCTCCTCTCCTAAGCCCCATAACCTTATTTGCAAAGTTCAACAAAGTCTCAAATTACTGCACTTTCACACTTACATACCTTTTAAAAGTCAGCTGACATTTCATCTCTTTCATAAAAGCTTCCTACCTTTCCTGCCCTAACCCAAACCAGACAACTCCTCCGATACTAGCATTCTATCTTATTCTTATCAACTTTGTATCATTCATTCAACATTGTTTTTGGTCAGGTACTATGTGGCTATCATTATTTGGGGCACTGAAAAAAATCTTATGTGTTAGAAAACAAGACAAGCAATAAGTCAAATAACATAATAAACTTCCTTGTTCTGTAACAGGGACCTTGCGCTTGCCAGGCAGGTGCTTATGCTGCTGGGCTAAATCCCTGGCACGAACTTTTAAAAATCGATATAATGAAACAACTTTTATTTTTATAAACAATTTTCAATGCCAGGTGCCCTTCAGATTCACTAGGAGAGATTTTTGTCTTTCTTTTATTCAATAACAATGCAAAAATGAATCTAAACTTTAGGGGTAAGGCAAGGCATATCATATGCAATATATGTAATATCTGTAGAGCTCATTAAAGTGTCTATTGCACAGAAGAGGTAGAGAACTACTATCCTACAGGCTGAAACGATTCCACAAGTAGAGTCAGAGAAACGATTCTACAAGTAGAGTCTGAAAAAGTTATGGAAAACAAGTAAAATGATGAGTACATGTATCAGTCTAAAAAACAAATATAGTATTATAAAATCATAATAATTGCCATACATGCTGGTGCACACCTGTGATCTCAGCACTCAGGAGGCTGACACTAGAGAATTCACCTAATTCCAGCCCTGACTGAACAATGTAGAGAGTGACAGACTCTATCTAAGAAAGGAAGAAGGGTGGGAGGATAAACAAGACACTGGCTCAAAAAATAATCATAATAGTGAGAACTGAGTTGTGGAGCAAAAGAAAAAGGTGACTATGAAGAAAACTATCACAAAACTCAGGAAGGGTTGTAAATCAGAATTAAATTTCTTGAGAGTGGTATTAATATGCTTTTGAAGCTTAGACACTGCTAAGTTAAACAACAAAAATAAAATTTCAAGAATAACCATTGAAATGGCAGAAGCAGAGTGTCAGAAAATAGGATAAGGAAAAATGCACAAATTCACACCAGTAGAAAAAGAAAATAGAATAGGACAAAAAAACCCTCTTATTATCTGTTAAAAAAAAACTATATATGTAGGTAAACAGAAAGACATGCATTGTGAGATACTGTTTCTCTCTGGTATAGGTGAGGCGAGGTGGGGATAATCTCATAGCTTAAATAGCTTTGTTAGTAATGATATTCTTAAGTTGAGAGATGATTCAAGAGTATTCATTATACTGTTGGTTATTATTTTAAAAATTTACTTCTATTATTTTGCATGTATCACATATCATAATGGAAAATAAAGAATAATTTAAAAACAATTACCAAAAAGTGAGAGAAAATAAAATACAATAAAAATTCTCCACCTTATACCTGACTCCCAGCCATGTCATTTCTTCTTATGGGCAACCTATGCTTTAAAAAAAAATTTACTCTTGTTCAATTACTGTGGAAATCAGTAGGGATATTCTTCAGAAAACTAGAATTAGAAATTCCACTTGACCCAGCCATTCCCTTATGGGTGTTTTCCTAGAAGAACTGAAAACATCACACCTCAGCAATATATGTGCAACCTTGTTTATAGCAGTACAGTTTGTAATAGCTAAATCTTGGAAACAACCCAAATGTCCCTCAACCAAGAAATGAACATATATATTAGAGTACTACTCTGCCATAAAGAAGAATAAACTTCAGACATTTCTAGGTAAATGGATGCAACTTAACACCATACTCTTCAGTGAAATAAACTGGACTCGCATGTGCAAACACTGTATTGCCTCCCTGGTGTGAGAAACTGAAAGAGTAAATAAGGACCCATGCACAATAGATTTTGTCAAATTTTTGAAGAGGAAGAAGAACTAGTGTGGCA